AGAACTGGGAATTGGAAAAAGAATTTTGTTCAGCTCACATTGCATAGGTGTAACCTTGTTATTTCTGGACAAAGTATTAAAGGACAGTGAAATATACTCCAGTGCAAATCTGGTAGTCTCTATGTCATTGCATTATACAGGAGCAATAATATATAAAAGTCATAGACAAATGAAAGACAGTGTGGTATAGTGATTAGAGTGATAAATTGGTACTTAGAAAATTCAGGTTTTGATCTTCAGTTGGATATGAAGCTTGCTTTGGTGGCTTTGGGCCAATCACTGACTCTCAGCCTCATCTGGATTTTTTTTAAATAGACACAATCTGTAAGAATGATTTAGGCCTATGACACAGTTTATTACTTTCACTAAAGCCGCAAAATCAGTGATTACAACTGGTCACTTATACATTGGTCATATAGTTTTACAGAACCAAGTGTTGGCATTCAATATTTCTTAGTACAGTACAAATCTTGTTCAATGGCTGACACTGTCGTGTTCTCCAGTGTTAATACATCATGGTAAGGCATTTTCCCAAACATTGGCAACATGCAGTTTCAGTTTCCTAAGATGTACTTACCTAACTGATAAATGTATAAAACATAGTGCAAGATATTACAGAACACTTTGGCCATACAAATATTTTTTAATAAAGTGTTAAATATAAGGCAAGGAAATTCAAAATTCCAGTTAGGTTAGCATTAACCGCAGATTTGTAGGAAAGATCTGGGAGGCTATAGCACCGTTCTGTTTAGCAGTGTTGGTTCTCAGATGGAGTAGGATTCAACTTTGGTCATGGGATTGTCAGAAAAATATGAAAAAAAGACAGGAGACTCCAGAATCAAAAAACAAAAGAGGACAAAAGGTTTGGAGTACACATATTTTAAACAGAAACAGAAAATCAACTGAATTGACTTTACATACTGAAAAATGATATGGAGAGATATATCAGTATGTATGAATCACGGCTGCAAAGCAATGTTAGAATGCCTACAAGGACATTCTTAAACTATAGGAGAGCCAACATCAGTCAGGGCATTTGCAGATTTTGACAAGGTTTTTAAAGAAAGGTTGCAATCCTTTAGTATGTGTGCCGGAAGACCAGTGTGCACTGTGAGACACCCTCTTTGGTACACAAGCAGGGCTGCAAGACTACTTTCATGCCATACCTTCATGCAGGCACAAGCTTTGGACCTTTATGCTCATGTCAAGGAGTGTTCTGTCTAGGCTATTTGTAACATAGATGCCACAGACTGTCTGCCAGTGGTTTAGCGCAACCTTCTCTAACCTGGTGCCTTCTAGAATTGTTGGACTGCAGCTATTATAATTATGGAATTACTGAAGTTTGCAGCCAAAGACATCTGGATGGCAAAAGGTTGGATAAGGCTTGTTAGTGGAACTGATCTGTCAGTGCATGAGATTAGACCAAATGTTTGTTAGGATGCTTTCCAACAGTGAGATTTCTATACGTGTTTTCCTCTAGAAAGCTTTAGAGCTTAGCCTGTCCAGTTATGTGTATATTCACCCCCCCACATGTCAATATAGCAAAATTTCAGTTGAATATTAGATATTTCCCTGAAGGACAGTGACAATATATGATGTAATGAAATTCACTGTGAAGTGCTTTGCTTCTTTACAGTATAATCTGTCAAATTTCACCTGAGTGATAACATGTATTTTGCATTAAATTTCACGCACACGTTATGATGTAAATAATAAATTCTAGCAAAATCAATTATATAGACTGATGTAGTGGAAGTGATAAATGCACATTTGGTAAATAAGAATCATATAGATCCTTTTGTCCATCCATGTACAGTATGTATTTCATAGAATTATACATTTTTACACACATAACTAATGTTGTATATAAACAGTTTCAACTGGTATATGCATTTTCAGTGTTAGTTGTTGATATGTGTTGTTTATATGCATTACATTTCAACTTTGAATAGAGTTTAAGAAACAGGAAAATTAAGTGAAAGCGCAATATTATGCATGTTTCAGCTACCTGGCTGGAGCAGCATGGAAGCTGTTGGCCTTTTCTGTCTAAACATGCATCAGATTACACCTTAAGGGATTCTGGACTTCTAATAGCAAAACAAAACAAAACAAAAATCATAGTGGGATATTGTCATTCAAGATGTTGTGCTAATGTAAAATGGTGCCTTTGGCTATTGTGGACAAATGCCCACACCTGCTTTAATTATGTTTTTTCACTGAATCCAGTGCAATAATTTATTTCCTTATTAGTTATGGAATTAAATATATTGATATAGGGGGAAAACCACCTCCTAGATCATTTTCCACCTTCTAAGGCTGCAATCCTATACATATGCAGTTTGGAGTAAATCCCATTTTACCTAATAGGACTTACCTCTGAGTAAACATATAGGATTGCAGTGTAAAAGTCTGAGTTTACATACTTTAGAAAGCTATTCGGGCAAAAATAAAGTCAAACATGAGAAGATATTGGTTAACACTACATTGATTGTGTGAAATTGGACAGAGCAGTAGTTTTAGAAAAATAAAACAAAACTAGATAGAAGGAAAACCTAATGCATTGAAAAATATATTATGTATAAGTAGTGCCATTTTGGTGTTGTAAAAATATGCACTTCTTGATGCTTAGGTTGTTAGATTACTGATTATAATAGAGAGCACTACTTTAAAAAAACTTGACAATGTTAATGTGAGGAAGTTGAACAGACTAGTTTTATGCTGTGCTGTCAGCAAAATAATCCAGGTGCACTTATCTGTCTCATTGTACAAGCACCTTGAATCTATCCTCTCTGTGTATATACCCAAACATGTTGCCAAGTGCACTTCTAATGAGGTTAGTTTCCTTGACTATTTCACAAAACACGCCAGCAAGTGCACATATGCAATAGTGGTTCCAGGCCTCCTGGCCTTAAAACACGCACGCACACACGCACACACGCACACACACATACAACCACCACCACCACCACCACCACCACATCGATATGCTCCTTGAAACATTTTGGATGTTGTGTCTGGATGCAGCAGTAAGTGGAAACATGAAGTGGGAACCACTAGCTACTGATTGTTGAAAGGAGATGGATAAGGGCTTCCAAAATGAATGATTTCTTTAAAGTATTTCAGAATTACTGATACGGTTTGTTTTACCTTTGCTCTTTATTTCATATCTGTGCTTGTGAGCCTACTCTTAATCGAGACTATTCCAAAATTGCTGCAGATTAAGTGGCACAAGCATTGCAGTACTTTGCCATTTTGGTTTGAGATAAGCTTATTCTGGAAGCCAGCTTTTTTTGTTATCATGTTATGCTGCATTCACACTCCTATTTCAGTGCATACTTGACCTTGCCCCTCCAGAACATCATGCTTTTCTCAGGCTTTGAACCATGTGGTTTTTCTGAAAATGTATTTAAACCAGAGCATTTTTCTCTGTGGTTGATCCAATCCGTGGATCATCTGAATCTCTTCTGAGGAAGAAGTGGAAATAGCTCCAGTAGTAGAAACACTAGAAATGTCCATGGATTAGAGAAACCCTTGGTTCAGGTCTTGGCAATGCAGGCTTGCATGGAAACATCTGGCACTCATTGTATTTTTTCCTATATTGTTTTTTAAACCAGGCTTTTCCAACCTGGCATCCTCCAGCTGTGTTGGACTCCAACTCACATATTCCCCAGCCAATGACCATGCTTGTTAGGAATTACGGGAACTGCAGCTTAACACATCTGGAGGGCATCAGGTTAGAGAAGCTTCTATAAACCATTTATTTTAGGGTATATGACCACTGAGCTCATAATGAAAAGTCAATTGAATCAAGTGGTTTGCTCTGTTATTGATGTGAGTTATGACTATAGCTCCTTTCACGCCACTGAAGTCAATGGAGATTAAAAAGACAGTCCTGTTGACTGTAATACTACCTCAAAGGCAGGTTTGTCTATTTTGTACAAACCAGCATAAAACAGGACTGATCGCCCTTCTCATAACCATGTTTTGCTCCAGCAGAGGAAGCTTTCTTGGCCTTGGGAAATGGTTTCTGTGACTTGTTTGTCATGAGTCAGTGCGATGTAGTGAGGAAGAGTGCAGGACTGGGACTCAGGTGATCTGGCTCTAGTCCATGCTCAGCCATGGAGCACACCAGTGACTTTGGACCAGTCACAAACTCTCAGCATAAGCTACCTCACTGAGCTGTTATTCGGAGGATAAAGTGGAGGGAAAGTGAACCTTGTACACCACTGTGGGCTTCTTGCAAGAAGAAAAAAGGTGGCATATAAATGCAATGCAGTATTAATGAGAACACCAGTGCAAATAGCTTCAAAGTGAGCTGCTTGAGTTAACAGCTAGCTTGCAAGAATGACTATTTTACCCATACAAGTGAGGCAACCCTTGCTCTGACATCGTGTTACCAGCAAAACTGCCAATGAAACTGCCTATGTATTGCATGGGAAACAATATTGATGGGTGAACCAGCAAAAGCTCTCATTTTCAAGTGAGGGCAACATGGCGATTGTAATAAGGATCTCAAAGTACTAGCTCAAACTTCTTCACACAGTTTTCTTAGAGGTGTGAGAACAGGATGATGTGCAAGTAAGTGATAGGGCTTATCAGTACTTCAGCTCTCTTGGAGTGTGTTAAATAAGTACAGTGAAAAGCTCTGGCAAAAATATGTAAAGTAGTAGTTTTAAGAAAGAAACATCTGTTGTATAAAAGTATCTCAGTGTGCGAATGTGGAGCCATACATATACTGGATGAACATGCTTCCTGAATGTTAATGTACGCAATATTCCCATACTTTCATACACCCAAGTATCTTTATTCATACTCCTTTCCATGCACACACCTGCATGCACCACATTCACATGCACACACACTCCAACTGAAAACAATCACACTCTAAAAACTACATAAAAGCAACCAGTGCTGTGCGTTGATAAATTCACATAGTACTTTCCAGTCAAATATAAGGTATAAATTAAAAAAAAAGAGGGAGAGAAAGTCAGACAAAGAAGTGATAGCAAAACCATTTAAATATATAAGAATTTCCACAATTGGCATTTCACGTTAAATAAGAATAAATAAATTCATTACATCCATTCACATACCAATATGTAAAAACAATAAATTATTTATTTTTTCAGTGCTACGTTGCTTCTTACTTCTTTGAGTTTATTTATTTTTTAACATCTGGGATCAGTTACCAACATCTTCCCCCACTTACATCCTATAGGATAAATTCATGGGAAAGTGATTGCATTCAGCCATGTTCCGTAGGTTTTGGTGGCAACCCTCAAACCACTATTCCCAGTGTGTTCCATACAATGATGTTATGTGTCTTCAGGATTACGGCTTGTTTTTTAAGGATGATTTGTAATGTCATTGCTGAATCTAGTGGGGATAGGTTTATATCCAATGCAGAGGTGTTCAAAATCATGACATCGGTTATGACTTTAACATTCAGTATGCATTCATTGAGCTAGTGAGATTTTCAGATAAAATTCAAATAACCGAGCTGTGTCTAGATCTGAGTCCTTGGGACTGACCTGCTTCAAACACAGTGAGAAAATATAAAGTGACATAATTGGCACCAGTTTCACATTAATTAGCCCACAAAGCAATGTGGATGCATGGGAGATGTTCAGTGGAAAGTGGTAGTACAGTGTAGGAAAAGGTCAAAACATTCCAATCAATTTAATTCTGCCTTTTGTTCATTTGTTTTGTGCCCAAATTAACCATGTTTACCACATGTCTCACATTTCTAACTATCATGCTACAATAAGGAAACTGTGAATTTCACATTCTTTTTCATGCTTTTATCTAAGTCTGACTAACATATATGTGCCATTTAAGTTAGATTATGAAGTATATACCATGTCTGTGCCTGGTCTATAAAATACAGTTTGCTTTTTTGCCTTTGAATTTCCCTTTTTCTGGTCCTGACTGGCTTATGTTCACTCAAAAGTTTCCCATTCAGAAGTGTATGGGAAATTTTAATTACTGGTAGGATTTCATATATTTCTAATAACTCAGAATTTGATTGTAAGAGAATGGATCCAGACTTAGACACTGAGTAGACCTTTTACAATCAACAAGACTTAAGTAATAGTGCCAAAAGTCCCATTGATTTCAATTGGTCTACTCTAAGTAGACCAACTCTATTCTTCAATCAAATATCACTTTATCGGGAGATGTGAAAATTAAACTGTCAGTCATCATGGATAAGTGCTTTATATCAAGTAGGTTTAGTACACATAAATGGAAGTGCAATTATGCCTTGGTAACTTTACTATTGAGCTAAAATGTCTGAGTGCTTCTTGGCCATCTAATTCTCCAAGTGTCACATAGCTAGGATAACCACTCAAGTCAAACAGGGATTATATAAATTGAGTGGTCTAGCAATATAGGCCAGATCCATTCATCTTAAAATTTTCTGCATCAGAAAATAAATGCTTAGGATGGTATTTTCTGATCACAGCTCCAGAACAACATCAGAACTGGTGCTGAAGACAAATACAAATGTGCAAAGAGTTTAGGTCAAAATCGAAGTTAAATTTGGATATTTTGGCTATAATGTTGTCTTTGCTGAAATCCAAAACTAAATTTTCATGGAAATTCATGTGCTTAGACTGCTTATTCAAAGCAATGGGGCACAGAGATGCAATGTACTTGCATCCATATTATAAACCCACATTTCATATTTCATTCATATGACATAAATGTGATCTCAAAGTTAATTAAATTCATTAAATTTGAGATGAGGTATTTATGTTACCCTTCTAAAATGGAAAGTTCATTTGCCTGTGATCTGGGGGAAAAATCCCTTCCTCTGTGGAAACAGACTTAACAAATATTCACTTCAGGTACCACATCTACATGTGGCATGACTTTCTTGTGGCTCTGACAGCACAAACTTATACATATTTACTCAGAAGTTAATACTATTATGTTCACCGAGGCTTACTTCCTAGTATGTCTAGGACTGCAGCCTTACAATTCAAACTTATATGTGTATACCAAGAAATAAAATTCTATTGAATTCAGCAGGGCTTACTCCCAAGTATGTGGATATAGATGTCCATTAATCTACAAAAATATGCAATGCCTCAAAAAATAAATATTTCTTATAGTTATATAGCCCTCCCCAAAATGTGCACGGGTTACCCACCCATACACTAATTAAAGGCATGTAAGTTTTGAGTTGCATATGAAACATACCCCATTCATTTTAATGGAAAGAGCCAATCTACATGTGCAAAAGACCGCACATCTTTCATTGAAATAATTGGCAATTTGTGCAACAAGGTATCCTTGTTCATATCTGAGCATTTGCAGATATCTGGACTAGGATATTTGAGTGGTTAAATGCATCACACAATTAGAGGTATTGGACAAAATATTAATAGATGCAATGAACCACTTGTTATGTTTTTCATAGCTTCTGCAATGACAAATTCATTACATGTTGTCAGATTTCCAGTGGAAGCCACAGAGAAACAAATGGAGAAACAAGATGTAAAAAGATTTCAGAATAGCTCAGTTAGAAGACCTCTAAAGCATGACCCAATGCTTTGCCATTGCATCATGTCAGATGCATTTTTCCTAGTTCTTGCTGTTGTCCTGTAAAATGCTAATGCAGAATTAAATATGCCCCCGTTTTTCTTAAAGAAGCATTCTAGCAGCTAATTTTATTGCTGCAGCAGTGCGCCTATATAAGAATTTATCATTAGAAAGGCATTAATACAGAATTAGACTCTGTTGTCAGGAAATTCCTAGAATGGAAATGTATTTCCTGTTGTCAAAAATTTTCCCTCTCTCTTTTTAAAGCAGCAAGCTCTTAATTTTCCAGTAAAACATCCACAGCCACGTTTTTGAACGTGATGGCATTCACAAGGGCTGTCAACATACTTTGGTCAGTCACTTGCATCATATAGAGAGGATGTTGTTCTTTCACAAGAAGATTGAGTGATATAAAGTGACATACCAAAGCAAAGATATTTACAAATAGTATAAAATAAACTATTGTGGTATCATGGGTAAGTATGATGAGTTGTCCAAGGACAGACTGTGTTAGAGGTAGGTGAGAAAAGGGAGATGAATCTGTAACCTTCATGATGACCCATTCACTGGTATATCCTCTTCTTATTTGCAGATACAAAGGGCTTGTAACAACTAATACTTAGTGCCTTTGACATATTAAGATCACCTCATTATCATTCAGGCCAGTGCATATCCTCATTTGGTCCAAATAGGCAGATTCTGCCCATAATTTTCAGACGATATGAAATATCTTGATGTGTTGACTCTCTCTGCACCTGGGTAGATCCTATGTCAATATGTCAGCTATGACCTAACAAGACTCCTTTTTGAGAAGCCCACAACCACAGGTTAACATTTTTTGAGCAAGCACTGCTTGAACGCCGAAGGTCTTTGAGACAGAAGGCATCCTTTTGCTAATTTTTCATTCCCATCTTTACATTGGACAGTTCTTGTGTGCCAGCCTGTATCACACGTTCGAGAACAAGAGAGCCATGGCCCAGTCACCCACCGGGGTTCTGTGAATGGAGGTGTCAGTTTGTTGCTGCTGCTGTTGCTGGTTACAGAGTTTGTCATTTGAGTCTGCTTCTTTGGCACATAGAAACTATAACGGACATCCACTGGTTTAGTTGGGTCAGTTGCAAGAATCTGTACTATGAGGATCTCCTTCGTGCCTGTATGTCCCATTGCATGCAAGAAATCATCTTTGTGACTCCAGCCACTGTAGTTCATGACAGTTCCGTTGAGGTCAATGATGGTCTCTGAGGTTGAGATCATGTACTTCCCATTGACAAGGTACTCACCATTTTTCTTTTTCAGGGCCAAGTAAGCTGTGAACCTACTCTGGTCTTTAGCTTTGAACTGTCGTATTTTGATGTGTGTTGCTCCTTCTGGTATTTTCACGATATCTGTATAGCCCTTACTGAAAAACAGGAAAGTACATAAATGAAAATACTTTCAATATCCTGTCAAGCCAACAGAAGTATCTCTTCTGGTTCAAACCTTGCATATATTAGCTCTTCTACCCACCTCCTTTAGATGAACTAATTTTGAACCCATTGAAACCGGTGGAAGCATACCACTCTGGAAACAGCCTTTCGCAGCTTACCAAAGCCCACCTTAAAGGAGAGGGGAGTTTTACAATCCTTACTATTTTTATCTCTTTAGCCTCACAGTTTCCCCCATCAAACATAATGGACCCATGTCAGTAACAGAACAGTCTTGTATGGAGCTAATCTAATCACAGTGGTGAAGGGGCAGAAATGGACTACCACACAAATTAGTGAAGCATGGGGGAGAGTAGAAAAAGCCTTCCAAGCCCTTGGACTAGATTGGAAAAATTACTTGAGATCTTCCATTGAGTGTATTGGGTGGTGATGGTAAGAACTTGGGTAATTTCCCAGTTAACTGAAAGAGACCTTTGGAAAGTTCACCCAAGTCCTCAGTGCATCAATAAAACAGTATATACTTTATTTGCTTTCTTTCTTCTTGGAGAAAATACAATATTTTTATGTATCAAATACAGTTGTGGATGATCCAGTTTCAAAACAAGAAATCTGCCAGTAAGAGGTAGTGTATAAATTTGAGATATGGGTCTGGAAATACTATTGAAATGCCAAGGAATGGCAATAAATCAAATGTACAGCTACCTTGAGCTGTTCTAGATAAAGCAATGGTAATCGTAAGCAGGGGGGAAATGACTGGGAAACATGTTATTTTTGTAACATGTGACACGTGAATGTATGTGGGCAAACAATGACAGCGAGAAAGATGAAGAGCAGTGTATCTTGTATTCTGTAAAAGCAATTTTAAAAATGGTTGAAGTCTATGATTTGCATCAACATACATAGATGCTGCTTCAGATTGATTAGCATTGCAGCAGACTCTAAAATATTTCAAGATACTGGGATGACTTTTTAATAACAGGGATAATATTTAAAGAGGTACTAAATTACAAATATGGTATATAAAGTCTTGCTGCATTTCAAGGCGATCCAAAACTGAGTTGGGCAAGCCTCCTTCATTTCAATGGAGCCGATTAAGAATAGCAGGGATGGAAGTGCAGTGCTTGGCCTGCTCCGATTCTGCCCTGCAGATACCCAAACTTAATAACCAGGCTATGCATATGAGTGCCTAATCATACCTTCTCAAGGTATTTCTATATTTAGCCTAGTTGACTGCAGGCTAACCATGAGTCAGCAGTGTGAGTCAGCAGTGGTCAAGAGGGCGAAAGCCACTCTTGGTTGCATAGCCAGAAGTGTGGCTTCTAGATTGAGAGAGGTATTACTACCACTCTACACGACTCTGGTGCACCCCCAACTGGAGAATTGTGCTCAGTTTTGGGCCCCTCATTACAGAAAGGATATAGCCAGGTTAGAGTCAGTGCAGCGTAGGGCCACAAGGTTGGTGGCCGGTTTGCAGGGGATGGGGTATGAGGCGAGACTGAGAGAACTGGGTCTCTTCAGCCTGGAGAAGAGGAAACTCAGAGGGGATATGTGGGCGACATACAGGTATGTGAGGGGATGTCACATGGAGATGGGTAGAGACCTGTTCTCCCCTGCAGAGGAAGGCAGGACACACTCCAATGGAGCAAAGCTCAGGGAACCAAGGTTCCATTTAGATGCCAGGAAGCACTTCCTGACAGTTAGGACCCCGAGGGTGTGGAATGGGCTTCCACGAGAGGTCGCTGAGGCCCCATCAGTGAGGGTGTTCAAAGATAGGCTGGACATGCATATAGTGGGCATGTCGTGAGTGGAGCTGGCTGGTGCTGGAGGTCAGACTAGGTGGCCTGGGAGGCCCTTCTGACTCACTCTGTTTCTATGTTTCTTCTAAAGAAGAAAGAAGAAAATAATTGTACCTTGGTAGGACAGTGGCAAATATACAAAACTTGCCATCCAGAGCCCATTTACATGTCTCACGTAACACCTAGATCTTCTAGAGCAGGAGTGGGCAGCTTCAGGGAATTGGAACTCCTTTCTGTTGGTGAACCCTGCCCCCCATGGGCTACTTTCCTGTTCTTTTATACCACCAAAATCTGGTGCTGCTGTGGTAACAGCAGCAAAAGTTCGGCTGTTGGAGAACAATGATCTCATCCTAAATTTGTCTCTTGTGAGCCTCTGTAATGGGCTTCCACAGAATTCAGTGGCAAACCATTGATTTTCTTGAATCTCAGCAGTGTCACCTGGGCCACCTGACATGCAGGGGGCCATATGGTGCTTGTGAGCCATATCTGTTGTGTGGTAGCAGTGCAAGTTGGGTTGAGTGAGTGAAAGACTCATCAAAGACCAGTTATTAGGCACAAAGTTACTCATAGTGAACACAGCCAGAATAATCAAATGATATACGTATTCTTCACTGATAATGAAAAATGGGGGACAGAAGCCTTCTTCATATGTAGGAGTTCTCTAATAACATAGAAGACTCTTCCATGTTATTATTGTGTAGCAAGTGTTAATCTCTGTTACGCAGAAGCTCTTCTAAACATCTCAGAGCACAGATACCCTATGTGCACAGATACTTATGAGACTATGCCAATGGAGGAGGAGGTGGTATTCTCAGGTTCTGTTTGTCATGGGTTTTCCCTAAAATATCCCATTTCTCTGAACTTTGCTGTAATCGCGAATACTATTTATACAAGTAGTCAGTTTGTGAAATAATGAATGGTCAGATATGTAATTGCTTACCTCTTTTTATTAAAGGTTCCCATAACTTTTGTGCAGCTGGAGTTGTCCCCACCGCAGATGCCGCATTTATCATACTGGAGCTTTGAGCCAATAATGCCATCGCATCCTGTTCTCACACATTTGCCACGGACGCAGACTGAATTACTATATGGTCTACACTCCGTCCCATCAATCACCTGTTTCAATGAAGTCACTGATGGTTAAAGACTTGTTATTGAGTATTGTCATTTCCTATAGATGTCTGAGAACTGTGGTCATGCACCAGTGCTTTATGTTTAGATGTTCTGGACTACAGCTCACACCTGCCCTGCCACCATGGCCAATGCTGAGGAACAATGGGAGCTGTTGTGCACAACATATGGAAAAACCCACATTGGGAAAGCCTGTTTAAGAATACTGAAGATAATTGCCCATCTCAGTTTCCCCATCTCACCAGCTGGGTGAGAAGCAACAGATAGTTCAGAGTTTGTTGGGGAGGAAATAAATGCAGCAGTTTGTCTTGTATGGGGACTTGAATGTAAGGTTGGATCTTCGTAGACTTGAATCTCCTCATTATTCAGAGGAATTTAACCCACAAATACTATGAACAGTTATTGGAGGAATTATTTACCTTTTGAGCAAAAACGACATAGTAGCCTGTTCCCTTGGCTCGACAGGTAAGTTTGCAAACATCTCCTGGGAGCACTCCGGCATATTTGGGAACCCATTCTACAAATGTTTTGACCCCTTTTGCATCTGACTGGTAGCCATTCCTTGCTTCACACTGTTCCTGGCGAAAAGCTTTAGCTGGGGAAAGGATTATTCATTAGTTAATATTTATGATTGCAAAGGATATTCTTCCAAGTGTTGGAAGACCCAGGATCACCCGGGGTGTCTCTATTATTAAGAGACAGGACCTGCAAATCTATGGCATACGAATAGCAATAGTCCATCATGACCCTCCCCTATTATAGCACTTGTGAATGCTCCTGTGACTGGCAAGTTTAAGTCTACCAAGCAGGCAAGGGGGATCATGATTGTGACAGGGAAGGCAGTGAAAGGCAAGTGTGAGTTTGCTTGTGTGAGAAGTATGTGAATGGAAGGGAGACCATATGGAAGAGTGTGTGCGTGTGTGTGTGATGAAGAGAATTCTGGACCCATTGCCAGCTGAGGCCCTGCCCAGCACTGAGTCCAGCCATAGCAACCAGCACGCAGTCCAAACCCCAATGCATTCAGCCAAAAGGTTACCCACGCCTGCATTAAAGAATAAGGGAGGATAGGGAAATAGGACAGGATAATCCTGAGTATGCTCAGCTTTCATATTTACATTCCAATCTGGGCTGGGGCAATCATTTTGTTGTTGGTTCTTAAGGGCCAGAAATCCTTACTGATCTATTGCAAATGATCCAGAGAATTGCAGAGATCCAGATCTGCTTTTTGTCCCCCTCTGGCACTGAGAAAGAAATCGCATCTGTATGGCATTTAAGGAAGGCTGTCATGTTTGGTAATTCTTTCTCCTCTGGATTTTGCAAAACATACCATTGGCAGGACATGGCATGATGTTACAGGAGCGATAGATGGCCCGCTTTCCTGTGCAGTACCGTCCATTGTTTCTCGGTGCTGGGTTATTGCAGTGACGATAGGCAAATTGAACACCTCCACCGCATGTACGAGAGCACTGTCCCCATGGGCCCCAGGATCCCCAGTTCCCATGGTTTGAAGCCTGAAAGAGAAATGATAATGTGTTGAAAAAGACGGTCAAACCTAGAAAGTAACTCAGGTCTCATGTAATTTGCATGTCTATCCCAGCTTCCTCCCTCCCTTTCTTCCCTCCCTTCCTCCCTCCCTTTCTCGGGCTCTGTTTCTATTTACTGAAATGGGAAGTATGTCTATTTATTTCATTTCTTGCACAATCTGCAGATTGAATTGTAGGAATGGAAACGAGAGTACAAAAGGTCATCCATACTAACCTCAGATACTGAGGTACAATTGCACTCAACACTTCTAATACATTAGCCTTTGGAGAATCTATTTTACTCTGGCTTGTATCTTACTTTTATGCTGTTACAGATTTACTGTTCATAGTGTTTGGAGAATGCTGGACTACATGCAGAGGACACATTTTGTTGCTGCTAAGAGAGCTCTTTAAAAATTCATTCTCCCATGGGCACAGAATGCTCCAATATCAACTGCAATGGGAAGCCTGGAGACCAACTCTCTTACTGCCAAGGAAATTATTTGAATGCCCATTCAAAACAGCCCTCAGCATGATTAGATGGTTTAGCTGATATTGTTAAAGTAGGAACATACCGAATAATATTTTTTCTTTGTTTTATCAACACATTTTCCTTGAAGGCAGATTCTTCCCTTTCCACATGGTGTCCCCTCCACGGCAGGGAGTTTTTTGGTCAAGCACACCATTTGACCTTGGCGAACAACTGCGCACCACAGCCGAGAGCATACATCCATCCCAGGACACACTGTGTAGTCTGGCCCAAATGCGAGCTTGCATTGACGGATGGCATCGTAGGTTTGCCCTGGAAGTTCCTCAGGGCCCAAGATCTGTTTTCGTGGTTGATCCAGTAAACAGTTACCTGAAAGGACAACCCAGTTTATAATCTGCTTCGTCTCTGTGATGCCTCCATATCTCTGAGCTTCTAAAGTAGATAAAGTGATTGAATTTTTTTTCCAGGTTTTTTCACCTTTCCATTGGGTTCTGGTTTAACATCTGGAAAATGTAACTTGCTTTAAGTATATCGTCTGCTTTTCTAATATATGTTATCTCCTAGGCTATGAGCCATTTATTTTGGGGTAGTCCCACTGTGGAAAATGGATTTACAAATTGCAACAATAATCTGTATCTGTCCTCTCACAGACAGATTATCCAAATACTTGCATTTCAGTTTAGAAGTAGTACTATCAGCTTCAGAGTAGGGCGTGAAACTTTCTCCTTTTGGGGTACATGTTCCCATGTACCCAAAGCGATACTGTGAGTAGGGTCTTCCATATTTATCACTGGGACTTACAGGCATTTCAAAATACAGCTCTCATTTGAACATGTGGAGGCACACCACTTCTGAAAAGGTAAGCCATCTTAAGTAAAGCCAGGAAAAGCATGACATAGAATTACTGCCAACAGAATAATTTAAGAACTGGGGAGCTGGTGGAGAGCAAAACCTTCAAATCATAACAAAATCAGAGCTGGGAAGGCTATGCTGAAGGCAAGTGTTCACTAGGAACACTTGAAAAACAGAAAGAGCCACAAGACTCAAGAGAAATCATTTTGTGTTTTCAGCAAATGAAAAATAATGTGGTACAAGGCAGAATATTTGTGTCATAAATTGAATTTATCCCATCTTTCTTGGCAGTAACCAAAGAACCACACAGTCACCTAGAAAGAGTCTGCAAAGTCTATTGTTGCGCACAAGTGGAACTTGCAGTATTGAGTGCTGCTGTTCAAGATTTCAGCAAATCTATTCTATCCTTGGCTCCCATTTCCCTATGCTTATTCCAGTCAGTGTGCATTTTCTGGCCATTGAACATGCCTAGTCTTAACAGGCTGTTTTTGTTGTTTTTTTTGTTGTGTGTGTGTGTGGGGGGGTCCAGCCTTAGGATTTTGTTTCTAAATACAGTGCTGTGCTTCTGCAACCCTTGGGGGTCCCCCAAGCAAACTTATACCTCCTAAGTGTATGGTGTGCTTATGTTTTGGCTACACAGGCAACGGAATGTACAGCCTGGAAATCAGAAATAACATGGATTATTTTTCCTCCTGGGCAAGTAACTCGCTCTTGGGCCAATATAGGGACAAGAACCCAGTTTTCTGTTTGGTGTACGGCACATACAGGAGACTTGTGTGGGTGCTTGTGGTCAGTGAAGCTTCGTTTCCCTTCAGTCAAAAGAGACGACCGCAGCGTATCTTCCTCTGCCACCACTGCCAACTTCCACTTGATCATGGATGAAAGCAGGCAGAATGTAAACATCTCTTGACTTCAGAGACTTAGAAAATATAATGGTAGGCAAGCAAGGACCCATCTTTCCAAACCACCCTTTTAAAATGAACTTCTCCCTTTCCCCAAGAAACAACTCACCCCCTGTGATTATTTGCTTTTCATTTATTTATGTACTTAAGTTTTAACCTTGCTGGTTGCCTGATAACCTTAAGCCAACTTTTGCCCAGGGTATGCATTGCTGCATTTTAAAAATAAAATACTGTTTCCATGCTACATGACTAGACATTCCTATGAGATTAAAACACCCCTAAAATATCTTTGTTGCAGTGTGCTGCACTCTGGTGCATAAAAAGAGTACATTAGCCAAAGAGCTTATATACCTTATATGCCGTGATATTTCCACATTGATCCCATGATCCAGTCCACCAGGATGCTACATACTGTGCCATAACACTTTGCCAGATGTAACAAAGCTCTTCTAGTCTGAGACCCAAATTCATTTTCTGAAAAGCACACAGGGGTTGCATTTCAGGGGCACTGGAGGCCAAGGGGATGGGGCCAACAGTAAAAGGGGTAGGGCCAAAATATTAAAATATTAAGCTACAGTTGCCACTATATAGTTTACTGCTAGTAATTGAGTCGTAGAAGCATTTGCACTTTTAGAATGTGTGTGTGAGAGAGAAAACAACTGCACAGAAGCTGGGACACCACCAAATGAGCAATGGTTGGAGAAAAGGAGGTGAGACTGGGGAAGGGATATGGCCAGGGCTTTTGTTGTCATAGAACGCACCGGAACAGTGTTCCGGGACCTTTTTTTCAATGGATTTTACAAGTGATTTTGAACAGCTTAGCAGATCAGCAGCAAACATCATTAACATAGTGCCAGTAGGCTGCTATTGTGTCTGCTATCTGCTATCAGATAGTGAGAGATAACTGCTTGGGACGCTGCTCGGCTTGGGATTGGTGTGTGTGCTTATTGCCGGCGGAGACGTGAGTTCTGGCACCTTTTTTTTTTTTTTACAAAAAAAGCACTGGATATGGCCATCTATATCTAGTCTCCCAGAGAGCTCACCAGCCCTTTTCTATGCAGTCCTAGATGCAAAGTCAACAGCACAACAATAAGATAAAGGTAAAAGTTTCCCCTTGACCTTATGTCCAGTCATGCCTGACTCTAGGGGGTGGTGCTCATCTCCGTTTCTTAGCCGAGGGAGCCAGCGTTTGTCCACAGACAGTTTCCGTAGTCATGCGCCCAGCATGACTAAACACCGAAGTGCACAGAACACTGTTACCTTCCCACTGAAGTGGTACCTTTTTATCTACTTGCATTTGCATGCTTTCAAACTGCAAGTTTGGCAGGAGCTGGGGTGGGGCAACAGGAACTCACCCTGTTGTGCAGATTCGAACCAGTGACCTTTCAATCAACCAGCCCAGCAGCACAGTGGTTTAAACCACTGTGCCACCTGCATCCCTTCACAACCATAACATCTGTTTTTATTTCGAACACCGAAATACCATTTCTGTAACATCTATCACCCAGTAATCACAACATCAAACACTGGCAGTGTCCTCACATTTGCCATGTAGCCAAGGCACCAAGCAATATGCAGTGACTGCTGTAACTCTGTAGTGGTATCATCCTAAGCAATATCACATACAACATTCACAAGAACCTACAAAACCACTGCATCAGAAGCTGCCCATGGCCAACTGGTCTGAGCAACAACCACTGATCCCTACAGCCAAAAATTCTACAGCTCTCCTCAACAGAGGCCTGAACGCTGCAGAGTCAATGTCCTTCAGACCACATTGCATTGGGCTGCCCAGCAAAGAAAGGATTGCCAGTCAAACCTCAACCATTAGCCAGTCTGTGGTCAGGAAGAGTGCAAGAGGCAGAAATCAAGGATTCTCCAGAAAAAGGGCTACCTCCTTTGCAGAACCAGAACTACCTTACAATGTGTCTTTATGAGGCAGACCAGGGTTTTTCAAGGAGGAATAAAAGAGAGCACACAAAGAAAAATAATAAGTAATAATCCATGAAATAATACTTTAAGTTTACAGAAAGATACACCTGACTTGGTCATGCTGGAAAGTCATGCAATGGGATGTCAGTGCAAATGAACAATGCAATAGATAATCTGCAATTGTATGTCTGAGCCTAACTCAGAGGAGACCTCTGCCAAGAGAAATCTACATTTAAGAATTCACACAAGTTACAAAAATTACAGCCTCAGAAGCCAAGCTCTAAAATATGGGCTACTCTTCCAGAGACCATAGGATTACTCTCTTAATGCATCTTTGACCAATTTAATTAAAAATAACACATGCCCAGTACTTATTACATGCCATATGCCTACTGAAAAAAATGGTATTATTACACTGGCATTTGCTATAGATCATGTATACTTTTCCTAAACAGGAACAGATCAGGATTAAGACAACAGTCCTGGAAATGCTTCTGGTTGCTTGTATTCCCATATGAAAGTGTCCCAAACTATTACAGACTGTCCTAAATGCAGCTCAATCAAAGTGATAGGCCTTGAACAGGCACCCAAAACATTCTGCAGTTGGTACCTCCCAATTACCAGAAAAGGGCATTCCACAACCTGGTTACTTCCACAAAGAAGGCCTGCTTCTGAATTGCCACCAGGAGGTAACCTGTGGCTCATGCAATTAGCAGTCAAGCCTCTTCCAATTACTTTATTTATATTTTACAGGTCTACATCAGGGAATATGATTTGGCAGGTAACCTTGTCCCAAGTATTTAGGCCTTTATAAGCCAATTGCAAGGCACTGAACTTGGCTTGGTAGCTAATACGTAATCAGTACGATTGCTTCAACACCAGTGTAATATGTACATGACCAGATGTTCTACTGGCTACCACATTTCTGCACCAGCTGCAGCTGCCAGACCATGCACAAGTCTAGCCACAAATAAAGGATATTATTTTAATCTAAACATGAAGTTACCAATGCATGGACTATTGTTGGCAGAACAAAGCTCTCCTAGGATTACAACAGTGGGACTGGGTCTGTGCGTGCAGATTGCTGCCTTTTTCATGTGTTCACAACGTAGGTCTGAATAGGCCATGTACAGACTACCTGTAGCACAGGCCTTATACTGTACTATAGGTGCAGTATACTCATACTATACTATACTATAGGTACAGTATACACATGTACATACTCATGTACATGTGACATGAGTATTTAGCCACTTTCTCACTGAAATTAAATTGTGAGTAAGCATGAGACATGAGCCTAACTCTGGTTCAGGACAAAGAAAGGGAAAGGCAACAATGCTGACTTTTATTCCGCAAAAACTCCATTACAGAGTCAGTTTCTTCAAATACTGTGTAACACTTATTCAAATATTATCCAGGATATGGAGACATCCCCCACTTCTCTCTCTCACCACCACCACTACTACTACTTTATCTTTTCTAGGGACACACATGTGAATCCTCTGGGAAACAGATAAGATGTGCAAAATACCTTTAAATCCAAGAATGGGTCTGTGTCAAGTAAGGATTAAACAAGGATTAAACCAGAGAGCTGAATGCCTTTTTTCCAAAAACATCTTGTCCCAGCTCTTGGACAAACACGTTTTCAAACTACAAACAAGCTCCCTTATTGCTTTTACCTTCCGATTAATGGGTTAAAACAGTATTTTTGGTAGCTGAATTTGCGACCCTCAATATTTACTTACCACATTGTTTATTCTAACAATAAACAGAAAAATAAGCCAGCTGCTTTGCAAGTTGGTGTTTGCTTTGTGCGTGGACTGAGAGGTGCTATTGGTGGCCTGTGATGAGGCGAGTGTAGCTGCCCTGAATACAGCTGGTGGCCACAAGTAACCATGAAGGCTGCACATGAGAAACACTCTATTAGCTGCAAATAGAACTGGTCAAGATCGCAGCCCACGCTACTACGATGGGAAACAGGTAGTGGAGATTCAGCTGATGTTGATGGCTCTGGCTGCTGGCCTTTCAAGTATATTATGATCAAAGCAAGGAATTATTTGATCAGGGATGTATGGGAATTTCATTTTTGCTGACCAACCATGTGAGCAAACTCCCTTTGAAACCCTGAATGTGAGCATAAGTGGGCGCTTGTCAAAATATCCACAGATTTTCACATATATGCTCCTGTTTGTCTTGTTCTCAATTCCTGATTTGATTTATGCAAATTTCCTAATTTGTACAAATTTAGAAAGATTTGCATGAATTTGGGGGCATTTGCACAGATCTCCTGTTTGATCACTGCTCAATTTGTACAAGTTTCCTGTTCACATTGCACAAACTGAACTCACACTTGAGACAAGCAGCAAGACTCTTTAGCAGTACCACTAGGATGGGCACTTGCACATTGATCAAGCAAGAGAACAGAAGAGGCCACAGACTTCTATATGTGCCAGTATGTGCATGCAGAAATTCACAGGCATCGAAATAACAGGTATAATTTAAGTGAAAAATGGAATACATCTCACCATACTGGGAAAGATGGCAATAAGGTGACTGGTTCTTGGTCTGTTCTCTGTGTGTTGTTTAAGTGCATCTTCTGATTGATTCTTATCTTTAAACCAGACCTGGGCTGCTTCCAGACAAAGTGTTTCTAGTGCTAACAATCCAGAAGGCATTGTGTGGCTGTGCATTCATTACTTCTTTCACCCCTTAACTGGTCTTTTGTAGTAAGGGAAGAGGGCTGAGAGTGGTATAGAGTGATCTGGTAATTTATTATGTTATGTTTATTATTAATTTATTTTAGTGGTAATTTATTATGTTCCATTGCATTTCAATGTATCTTATTGTGTCGTAAGCCGCCCCGAGGCTTCGGCAAGGGGCGGCATAGAAATGTAATCATCATCATCATCATCATCATCATCATCATCATCATCTGCATCCTCCATAAAATTTCATGAATGGGGCAAGGTGATCATGCCATAATGCCTCTTTTGGACACAGGGTTAGGGTGGACAGCCCTTCCAACAGAGATTGCTTGCTAACTGATGAGAGTCCTCTGTAAGGTAGGACACATGGCTGTCCTAAGTCCCATAGGACCAAATCTCTTCCACTATGGTGTCCAGAAGGGATAAGAGAATCTTTTCCATCTCTTGTTTATCTATTTCCTGCATCTCTCCCCATCACAGAGCAGCTCAGAGCAGGAAATGCTTTGGGGGTTCAAGGGATTTGTGGGCTGGAAGCATCCCTTTCCCCATCCTTGTTTCAGCCTGTGCTGCAGGCAGGGGCATAGAAGAAAGATTTGGTTTTACTGTTCCCTACTTGATCATTGTTCCTTACCAACAACTACTGCTATCTGCCTCCTTTTCTTCCAAAAGGAAAGTGCCAGTTCCAAGCATGTTTAAGGTAACTAATTACCATCCCACCTTTCCCCAGGAACGATATCAGAAGTACAATAACAGCAGCTAAAAAGAAGGGGAGCCAATAGAGCAACGCCAGCTCCCGAGACCTGGCAGTCACAGCAATCCTTGCCAGCACTGCCTCCACATTAGCTGCGCATGGAAGGCAGCAAACAACAGAGAGCAATAGCTAGAATACCACGATGGGATCACAGCACCGAGTCCTCAGTGCACACAATGCACAAACGAGCTGCTATGAATAGACAACAGTGTCTACCCTGTCAGAGCATTCAACAGCCTGTGGTCAGGAGGCTGGCGTGCAGAACCCACACAGAATTTCTTCCAGGAGAAAGTGTCATGTTCTGCTGCAATAATGCTTATAATGCTCCACCTGGCAGCACATTTGTATAGGAATGTGTGGGAGGCAAACTAGTGTTTTGTAACGGAGCCACATGGAAAACGCACACTTACGACAACAAGGTCACCAGAGGTAATGCTGTAAACTGCTTTGTAGGTAACTGAAAAGGGCACTGCAAGGGAAATCGGAGGTCTGGTTCTGAGTACTGCTCTCAGAAGAAAGAAAAAGAAGAGAAGGATCTATCCACCTACCATTGATCTGTATCTAGAGAATGCAGGGCAGAGTATATTTCCTTCCCTCATCCCTTCATCATCACAATAACCCTGTGAAGTAATTAAGCTGAATGACCAAGATCATTGCTGGGCGATATCTATGGCTGAGCATGATTTAAAACCAGTTTTCTTAGGATGAAGTGCAGTATCTTAAGCATGTTGGTCCTAGGTATCTCTACATCGTTCCTTTGGGAGTTAAAAATAACAGGGAGGGAGGGAGATGCAGAAGGAAGGGTGCAGTGTAGAACTACAGTTGCATGAGGAATTTCAAGGCAATCCTGTCCTTGGCCTACTGGTATAACTTGGTTAAGAATGCCCTGCAACATATGCAAGGGTGCAGTCCTGCCCAGTTGCCTGCCACTAGATGGAAGCCTCTGCTCCAGGAGCCAAGGATCCCTATTTTCTGCCATGCTGCTCTGCCTTGGTCAACATTTACAACCCCCCTGGAACTTCCTGCAAAAGCTGGGAGGAGGCCCAGTGTGAAGATCCAAATGCGAACTTGCACTTTGGTGGGCACAGCTGTGCCTACGGCCTTGGAGGTGAAAGTCCCCAGTATGAGTAAGGCCTTGGGATTGCATCCTAAGCCATTACCAAAGCAATGTAGATATAATATGGGAAAGACAACTGGAGATACTGATAATTGCCTGAGAAAATAGCAGAAACTTAGAGGTTATTATCTGTGCTTGATAATAGGATAAAAAACCTGATTGCACGTAGCACTGAGAGCCATCCCACACAATGTTGCGTTTTTACAAGTTCTGCATGCATGCAGTATGTTTTTCATCCATAAGTATTTCAGTTGCTATAACAACTGGATCTATTCGTTCAGTTAGGTCATTTTTATCTAAGCATTCTGGAATTTGAAATGGTTGTTTAAGAGCTGCAGTTGCTTTAGGAACATAGTGAAGAATTTCAAGAGCATTTTGCTGTTGTTAAGGAGAACTTAGTTAAGAATACTGAAACACTATGAGAAGATAAACAAATGAAGCTATCAGCCCTGCAACATACTAGGAACCTTAGGACAATCGCTTGGTACACCTCACTTGGCTCAACTTCAGATGGAGATAATAGTGAGCTATCTTACATGGTTGCTGTCAAAATGGATTGTTTTACAATCAGTGGATTGTAAAACACCTCCCTACTTGTAATATACTACTGCTACTATTGACTAATGCAGAACTGTTATTACTGCTACACATGCTGTTTAATACTACATTATCATCTATTACTGCTCTTACTCCTAATTTTGATAATAGCAACGTAAGATTAAGGACAATACAGCAATATGCTTAGCATAATGCAAACCATGTAACTATTTGGGTCCTATAGCTATAGTATAAAAGAAAAACTGAAAAGAGTGTGAAAGCAACTGCAACTCTTATCAGAATAACAAACACATTAAAAAATAGTGGAGAATGAAGTTCAGCATGATATCCAGTGCCAAGTTCTCCATACATACCATGGCCATCATCCAGAAATTCTGTTATTGTTGCTGAAGTACATTTGGACCATGGTTTGGAAGCATCAATGCTTGTTAAGATGGAAGACATAAGTCTTTTATCTTCCATAGAACCAAAGTTCTCCTCACAGAATTTGGAGTCATCATGGGAAAGTCCAAGGAGGTGTCCTGTAAGAAGAAAATAGGAAATACAATCTTTTACAGCTGAAAGATGTATATTTGAAAGCATATATGTCCATCTGAGCATTACATTTGCAAAGAAAATATGCCTGTATTAACTATTCCTACATAATAAAAACATTATTTTACATCACGACAGTGTGATTTTAACTCAGTGAACTAGTAAATAGTATTCTGAAATTTAATGTGAGGTATTTATAGTAAATACGTTGGATTCTATCAGTCTGCAACAGCATTACTGTATAACACAGGTTTATCTATATATTTATCTATTTTGCATTAAACATTGTGGTATTGGGCCTACAGTTCAATATTGCTACAGATTAATATCCAGGATTCTATGCCTAATATGCTTTAAGGTTACAAAGGGAACAAGCAAGATGTCCCAGGCCAGAGATAGCTAAACAATTCTCATTGTTGAAGGGGTGCTCTTTTCTCCAAGTCACTAACTATTCATATCTAAGCACATCTCTCTCCTGATTCTAATAACCAGAAAGACACGCTAACAAGTTACCAAATTAGTGTAGAAAATGGCATAATACCCATCTGTAGATTGCAACATAAGGATCAGTTATATGCATATAACTGATTCAGAATGGCATATGCGTCAATTATATGGAAAGCCTTCCCCGAGCCTTTCCTAGGAGGAAAAATGTTCTTGGCATGCATCTAGTATTTCTCTATTCCTTTTAGGTTTGATTGACCCTACTCCACATCCAATCTCTGGCAAAAGGCCCTGGCAGGGATTATCCATGATGCAGGGAAGACAGAAGCAAAAAGTAGCAGATCTTTCAGAATGGAAGTAGCAGAGGGTTATTTCCAATTAAAATTGTGGGCAAGTACTAGTTTTAAAATATCTATAAGAAACTTTGGGAACCATATTCTGGTAATGGGCATGGAGGTTCTGTTAAAACAGCTCATTCTAAAATGTGCTTTGCTCAGTTCACAATAGCAAGGAGTTTGACTTTTGTAATCTTGGCCTACAAATAACTGAAGTGAGTTAGCAGGACTGACAGGAATGTATGCAAGGTTGTCTGAAATTTAGGTCAAGTGGGGAACAAAATGGATAATCTTCAAAGAATGGCTTGCTTTTAGTTGCTGCCATTCCATGCAACCATAAGGGTGCTGATCTTTATTCCTACCATCCACTATATCAGATTTCTCTAAATTTGTGTTCCCCAAAAATCGTTTACTTCCTCTTCCACTCCCATTAGCTCCTCAAGCATGGCCAATAGTGAGAAATGCCAAGGGAAAGTTATAGCCCCAAAGATCCGAAGGGCACCAAGTCTGGGAAGACTGGCCTACCCAATACCCAGATTACACATTCTCCATCCTTAGCAAAGCATTCCATTTCTCAAAATGAACCTTGGAGAAAATTTCTCCCTTTCAAAATCACCCGTTTCACCTTCACCTGTAAAATTGCCCTGGAATTACCAGTGGACTTTTAGTGCATAACTAGACATGTATGTGTACCTTTATGTCTCTGAAAACAAAGAAACAGACCTAAATACATAAAACAATGGCTCTTGTTTATTTATTTATTTCATTTTTATACCGCCCAATAGCTGAGGCTTCCTTGGAGCCCCTTTGAAGATGTGTCGGATTCATATAATGCCAATAGACTGACAGCAATTTTAACACAGAGGGCTCTGTCTAACCTTCTCCCTATCTCTGTGCCAAAAAACCTTGAAAGGCTATCCTGAAACAAAGGATGTCTTTGGGGAACACAAAGCCAGTGCTGGATTTCCTCTCTCCACATCTGATGTTATCACAGAAAATGCATCGAACACATGAAAGGAGTGGCACCAGGATATATTCAATATTTTAAAGGCACTCCAGGCAGCCTGCACTCACCACTTTTACTGTATTTTGAGGTAACAAAGCTCATCTTATATCCATTTGCAACTGGCGTTGAGTTTATTCTGACAAGTCGGATGTTATCTTACAGGCATGTTTTCAGGAACCTCCATGCAGAGACATTTTTCTGTTCTTGGTTCAGCACTATGGTTGCTTCCGCAGGGGGCTTTTATGGTGCCATCACCTGGCCTCATTCACAGCATTTTATGGCATGTTTGTCTGCCCACAAGCTGTTTCATCTTTTTCTCATCACAGAAAATCCATTAAGGAAAAAGAGACAGAAATGTTGCACAATGCCTTCTAACTGGCAGAGCGAGAAGCCCTCCGTCTGGATGTACCCTGTGGTACATAGCAGGGAGTATGCAAATGTTCCTAGAAGACCATCCATCTGCAATGAAGGCACTGTGTTAGCTATGAAGCAGGGCTGAGCATGTTATGGGGTCCCTGCTGCATTACCCATCCTCAGATTCACAGCTTTGCTGCTGAAACCAGCAGGGGGAAAATGATTTTGCTTTAAAACATGGTGTGCATTCCTACTGGCTTTGCTCACTCTTTTTCTGCCACAGCTGCAAATTTTGAAGGAGCAGCAGCAAGGCAGTAGAAGCTGCAAAAACACTGCCCACCACTGCACTCCACCACATAACTTGCACTGTCCCTGCAAGGGTCTTCACCAGAGCTGTGAACAGGCAGAATCCAGATGGTAAACTTAACAGATAACAAACTTTTCCTAACAAGCAGTGAATCTGTTACAAGTCTTTGGAAACATACCTACGATCTGCAAGTTGTACCTTTGGCGATTGCTGTGCTTTCCTAGGTACAGAGGGATGCGTCTCTTTTGGTAGGACACTAGAACAAAAACGCTATCCTAGTGCCTCTACGAAAGCACAGTCGACATGTTAGAAGTTGTAGTCCAGAGTGGAACAAGGACTGAAACATGGCCCTAGCACCATGACTCTGTAGGCAGCTGATCAGACGCAATGTATAACATAGCTACGAAAGCTGCAACCACTAGAATTAGCATTCCGTCTCACTAGTGTTTGAGCAGCTGTTGTTTACATGTAAAAGAACAACGCATTTTTATGAGAGCAGAAAAGCACTGTGGTGCTGAAGTTATGCCCACTTGGTGAACAGGATCATTATTACATTCCCTTCCTCTGATGGGTTGCAATGATGTAGTGGTAGAGTTGAATCAGCAATACTATTGCACCATGGAATGGTGTCACTGCCAGGATGGGAAGTGTGCCGAGACTGGGCGTGGTGGCAGATGGGCAAAGTATACAATTTAACCACATGCCCATTCAGAGGTCACATCCCTCCTCTGTGCCAGCCCCATGGTGAACCAACAAAATTGACTGCTTAGGCAAAAACACTGTCATTGCAGAGGCATCCTGGTATAAATCAAGACAATCAACTGTTTCTCAGAGGATAAAAAAGCAACCGCAGAGAACAGATTAGGAAATATTTCAGGGTATAAGGAAGGGAGGAGGCAGGTTCTGCCAAAATACAATGTGCCCCGATGACACTTCATCCTCTTTCATTTCTTTTCCAAAACTGTATTTAAGACAGTCAAAACTGATTGTCCAACTGCTTTGTAGAGTAGAAGGAACATGGAGCTGACCTTCGTACCCTTCCTGCGGTGCAAAGGATGCCTGTAATCTTCCCAGTTTGGAGGTCACAGGTAGTTTTGCTGGAATGTGCCCTAAAGCTGCACCAAAAATGCCATTTTACTTTTGTAGGCTGTTTCATGTCACAAAAAAGGGGAATTTTCAGTTATGTTCTCTGGGTGAGGAGAAACTCATAAAACTTTCCACCCCTGGAGTGGAATGATCTGAACAAGTAGCAGAATAGCTTGTCTGTGATATTTCTGTAACGTACTGGTCCACTGCCACTTCAGGCAACAAGACTCCAAATTAGTGTTCCTGTGGGCTACTGTGACTCCTCTGAATGCCTCAAAAATACTACATCAGGATATAACATGATTTCAGAGACATTGTGGGCAAAAATAACATTGTGGGCGACCCACATAAAAAGATAACAGCCTCACTCCTTCAGGGACAGCAAAATGTTAACAATTAACCTTGGTTCCTGAAAAATACTGGCGCTTCTTGTCCTTGCTTGATTTCTCAAGGAGTTTTGCCACACATTTTTAAGTGAAAAGGAACACACTGAAAAATTAAAACAAGCCATAGTTAAACTCTTGTGATGAATTTGAGCACAGTGCATTCAAGCAATGCAGCTTTTGACCCTACACATTTTAGCTCTGTGCTAAAAATGTCAACTTTGATGCCTAAAAACACTCCAGGAGTATTATGAAAATCAGGAATGTAACATTACATGGCCAGTGCACCAAACAGAACAGTGATTACATGAACAACTTTTGGGATACGTGTGTGCATATTTACAGAAACTGCACAGTTCATGTTGACTTTCCATTAGCTAAATCAGAGCTATTCATTAAGGACTTATTCCACTATAACTTTCAATATTGTTTGTGTTTATTTTCCTTCCACTTGAGGCACTGTACACTTCTTAGAGTGCACAGTCTGTCATTAGATATTCATTCTGTTCAGTTAGTTCAGAAAGACTGCAGCATCCACATATTTTCAGTTGGTGGGTTTTAAGTATACATGGCAATGATATATTCTATAATATTTGATCTGTCCATCCATCCATTCATCCATCCATCCATCTTGTGGACCTGCTGAAGAACGACCTGCCTATATTCATTAACCAGGTCAGAATAAAGCTTCTTTTGTATACCCCTTTGTTTTTGGGGTTAAAAATTACAGCACAGATGAAAGGACCTCATCTGTCAGTTTCAGTTTTCCCCACATTCATGTCCTTTCTGTTCCAGACATTGAAAATGTGGGTAAATCCTTCCCAAAACCGAACTGAAATCAGGTCCTTAACCATCCCCAAGCTCTCCGTCCCCCACTTCAGCTGGGTACATGGGCCCTCTGCTCAGATGGGGAAAGCCTTTGGCCGGCAGAGCTAGCACCTGGCCAACATCACCCATGCAAGGCCAGCCTGGGGAGCAGGGGGCAACCATCCCCACCCTTGCTGTAGAGAGAAAAAGAAAAAAGTAAATGAACAGCCAGGCCTACAAATGTCTTTATTTAAGATATAATTTA